TGACGCCGGCATCCATAAAGTCGATGGACACTGAATCTCCGGGCTGATCAAGAATAGGCAAGGGTCTGAGAAGACCTAGAGGGGCACGTGTAGTACTCTTGTTTCTCTGCGATACTTTGCAACTGCGGACATACTCTATGCAGTCTGCTTTCATTCCTGGCCAAGTGTACGCATGCATCAGATTGGCTAGAGTCTTTTGATTACCGAAATGTCCCTCTGTGTCGTGGCATTCCCCTAGGATCAAACTACGAATCTCCTCGCTGTTAGGGACGCACTGACGGTCTACTACATCAGTCTTCTCAAATAACAACCCCTCTGTAGTGTGGTAATTTGGTTCAGTCTCTAGGCCCTCCTTAACTCTCTTGAGGACGTCACTATAAATAAAGTCCTACTCTCCTGCAGGTCACTCCGTATATCCAAATAGTGAACTATAGCTCCAAAGTAGTCTGATCTCCTACTTCGAGCATCCGCAACTACATTGTACTTGCCTTTCACAGGGTTGTGCTCAAAGTCGTACAGGTCTATCTCAGCGGGCCACCTAGTCAACTTAGGTGTCATTTTGGCCTGTGTCTTTAACCACCTAAGAGTCTCGTGGTCCAAATACACTTTGAAGTGCCTCCCAAGCAGGTAATGCTTCCAGTGCTCTAAGGCCTGCCTGAGAGCGTAGAGTTCTCTCTCATATGTCGACGTAGCTACCTTCTCTGAGGGCATCCTCGCTGTCATGAACTCTACGGGTTTGTAGCCATTGCAGTCGTCCTGCTGTAACACGACGCCTATACCATACTGACTCGCGTCCGTAGTGACGACAAATGGCAAAGACGGCTCTGCCACTTTGAGGACAGGATACATTATTAACGCGCGCTTCAACTTTTTTAGCGCAGATGTACAATCTCTATCCCACTGCCAGATTGCCTCTTTCTTGAGCAACTTGCGAAGGGAACTCGGCCGCGGCCGCGGGCATTTCGGCCGCTGCGGCTGAGATTCTTTGTCGCGCCGCGGCCAATGAGGCCCAGTATGCGGCCCGGTTTTTCAATATTTTTTCTCTCCCCCTAAAAATACGTAAAAAAATAAAAATAAAAAAATGGGGGTGTAGGGCTTGAAAAACCCTACACTCCTGTATTTTTTTTTTTGGAATCCGACTTTGTTTAAGATTTTTAAAAAAATCAAAAACTAAAATCGATTTAAACAAAATTAAAAAAATATATTTATAAAAAAAAGCAGGAATTTTTTTTTGACATTTTTTATCATGAGATGTATGGTCCCTGAGTACACCTGTATTTTTTTTTCAATTGGATTTTTGTTTTTTGCAAGGAAATGAGATGTTCTAAGAAAATAAAGATGCAAAATTAAAAAAAGAAAAAAAGAAAAAGGTTTGATTGATTGATTGATTGTGTGTGTGTGTGTGTGTGTGTGTGTGTGCGTGCGCGTGCAAGAGAGAGAGAGAGAGGTGCGTGTGTGAGTGTGTGTGCGTGTGTGTGTGTACGTGTGTGCGTGTGTGTGTGTTTGTGCGCGCCTGTGTGTGTGATGTGTGAGTGTGTGTGTGCGCAAGCGGGAGCGTAAGGGAGCTTGCGTGCGGGAGCAGGAGCGTGCGCAGGAGAGAGAGAGAGAGAGAGAGAGAGAGAGAGAGAGAGAGAGAGAGAGAGAGAGAGAGAGAGAGAGAG